TTCCCGAGTGTCGGCTGAAGAAAAATAAGATTTTAGTTTTCTCTGATTGGTCAAATATTTCACATGGCGATGTTAATTTCTAACCAATAGATTTGATTTAAACGGCATGTGTTGTAGTGTGGAATCTTTTTGGCATGTTTGTAATATCTGTTTTGGTGTAGAAAATATGGTGTGGGCGTATTTTAATATGGTATGTATGTGGGTATGTAATTGTGTTGGAAATATGGTTTATTTCTTATAAACTTAAAAAAGAATATTCCATTCTGTTAGGATAAACTAAAATGAAGATATTTTCAATGGTCTATTTCATGAAGACTATTACCAACCATCTCATCTTACGTTGCTACTGTATGAATTATGATTGAAATTTTGCCGACGCCAGATTATCTGTATCTTCATTTTCTGTTAGTTCCAAAGAATAAACGAAATGCTTTGTACGTTTAAATATTTTACACTCTATTGAATATGTTTCTTTATTAATCAAATGTGAGTCAACCACTAAAGTTTATTATTCTCTTTTCAGTGAACTCTAAAATCAAAGAAGTTTTTATTCTCTTTAGTGAATTACATCTAATCTGTGAATAAGTCCTGAAAGTTTCATTAAAATCTGACAATTATATGATTTTTGTAAGAATTTCCAATAATTTCAAAATCAATGTGCTTTTCATCTGGAAAAGAAACTAAAATTTCCCATACAAATTTATGGTCTTCTGTTGACGTAAGTTAAACAAAGTTTAAGGTTCAAAAAAAGATTAAAAATATAATTTCATAATAAAAATCTTTTGTTGATTTTTAATAACAAATAGATTTTTACGATAAAACTTTAGTTTTTATTAAGTTTGGGCATTTTTTCATCATGTATGCTCATTTTTAGCGAAATTAGAGGAACCTATACCTAATTATAAATAGGAACAGGTTTTATTTTATGAAGTGTATCATATTCTACAACTGCAAAACTTATTTTATATCTGTCATTCGAATTTATGACTGTGTTTAATTATAAATTTAAAAGGAAAAGCATATATCTTGTCATATTTTTAACAGTATTTTGCTGTCCTATTCGAAAAGGTCGTATCTTTCGTAGCTAGTTGTCTCTCAATGTAAATATTCTTTCTGGTTTCAAACTTAATCGTTTAGCCCGTGACAGACTTGCCGCTGCATGGGTCGATCAACTATATATTTCTGGTGTAGGCAGTGATCCTCACAGATTAACAAAAGGTAAAATTTTAACGCTACTTTTCGGAAAAATCAGCCCTTCACACCTTTAAAATCATATTTTTAAGGTCTAAAGGGCTGGCAAATTGAAAAACATAGATATGAAAAATAAAAATATGGCCAGCTAAGATATTAAAAATACTTATATGCACACATTCAAGTTGACAAATATTTAAATTTTCTAAGGTAACATCGCGTAAAATAAAATTAAAAAGATCTCTTTCTATTTATCAACAGTCTTTAAATATTGTCGAATTTGTACGTACCAATGTTTTGTTCACATACAATAATCGATTTTACAAACAAAATTTCGGCCTGTCTATGAGTTCACCTCTCAGCAGTGCATTAGCATGCTTCTTTTTCTTAAAGCATTTTTCATTAAATTAGACTTCTCAAGTTCACTGTTATGGCTCTTTTTAGTCTAGATGGGAGTTTCCTTCCTAACTTTTTCTTTATGGTAGTGTGGAAAATATTATATCATTATTTCCCCTTCTAGATAAGTAAGCTGCTTCTTTTAGTTTTTGTTACTGCTGGATGACTTCAATTGATTATTATTGATTAATTCGTTTTCTACGGTTTATCAACCTTTGCGGGTTATTTAAAGTCAGAAAATATTTGTAGATTTTAAGAATTTTTTGAGAGAGATTTAGTTATGTAAGTCATACTGATTAACCTACAGCTGAGAGGAAGTAGTGGATTCATGCCTTTCATAAGGGTAAGTGAATCTAACGATCCCAACCGCTACTGGAAATCGGTTCAACGTTTACCAATTCCGAAGAATTATTCATTACACCACGCGCACATCCTGCTATTCCCAAGTGGTCACTCTTCAAGGGTCGATGTTGCTTAACTCTGGTGATTGTACGGAAACAGAAACCAGTGTTTCAACGTGTGTGGCCCGAAGCCGGAAGTCTTCAAGTGATGTGATTTTTTTTTTTATATATTATATATATATATATATATATATATATATATATATATATATATATATAGAGAGAGAGAGAGAGAGAGAGAGAGTTAGATTTGTGACCTTAGGTTTCACGGTATTTGCGATCGTCAGACAAACTGATTAATTTTTTAAATTTTGGATTTATATATGGTTGTGTATATCGTTGTTTTTATGGTATCGGGAGGAAAAATTGTTACTATATATATATATATATATATATATATATATATATATATATATATATATATATATATATATAAAACACACTCTTGTGTAAACTAATTGAAACAAAAAGAAATAGTTCCGTTATTAATTACTCTTTTCCAATGAAACATGATCCTGTGCACATGTTAGTACTTCGTATGTCCATTCCATGAAATCGTTCATTGCAGATTGACCACAGGTTCTCGATTGGATTTAAATCAGAAGAGTTTCCGTGTCAGTCAATAGTACTTTGTTTTGTTCACTGGTAAGGCTTTGCAGCGTTACAATTTTCGTACTCTTCCTTGGAGTAACGTCCATCGCAGACAATGGGCGGGATAAAATTCTGATGTAATCACAGATGACGCAATATTTTTCAAGGCCAAACAAATTTCAACACTCACCCCGAAAATAGATTCATATTATTGCACACTACTGCAAATAAACTAATCTGAGGAAAAAATAGAAATCGATTACCCCTGTCACTCCAGTGGGTATAAAACTGACCGTATGGTGAAAGAAAGGAAACTAAATCGGTTGTTTCATTTAATCTGCACAAGGATATATATATATATATATTGGAATAATGTTTTGATACCACAAAACAAATATAACGATTTAAAGAAAATGAATTTCTTTTGTATGACCATTTTTTTTTTTTTTTTTTTTTTTTTTTGCAGGACCTAGGTACCTTTCGGCCAACGCTTCATCAGGGTCATTCGTTGGCAAATGATTTTAAACAAACAATGAAAATGAGAAGAACGCCAAAATGGTATGGTTGGAACACGTCTAAAATCTTACGAAGATATATATACGTAAAATTAAAATAAATTTACGCATTATTTACGCATTTATTTTAATCGTAAATTTATATATATATATATATATATATATATATATATATATATATATATGTATGTATGTATGTATGTATGTATGTATGTATGTATGAATATGGTGTAGGGGTGCTCATGAATATTCATCGGAAGCGGAAAAGTCAGGAAAATTCATGGGTGTGATGTAATACAGTTCAATGTCTAATAAACGAAACAGAGATTTTTTTTATATACCAAAAACTTGGAAAAACCAATAACAATTTTGGTTCTTGTATATAAATACTTGCCACAAAATAGATTCCTTACATTTACTTTGAGAAAGTCCCTCAGGGGAGGGAATGCGTCTGCTAAGAGAAGTTTTCCTTTTGTCTTTATTCTTATTTCCATTTTACAGATATAATATATCTGAAAATTTTCACACGCACACAAACATGTGTGTGTGTGTGTGTGTGTGTGTGTGTGTGTGTGTGTGTGTGTGTGTGTGTGTGTGTGTGTGTGTGTGTGTTTTCAACCTCTTTCCGCTTTAAATATTAACCACATCCGCCCCAAACTTAAAGCAACGTCGTGTTTCTATCATGAATAGAAAATGTGAGTAACGACGACTTTTTATGGAGAATAGGAACTACAACGAAACTTATGCTTACAACCAGAAACTGTTGAAGAGATGGTCTGGAACAAACAGCGAGTAACCTACTTATAACGAAGGATGTTAAAAAGTCAAAAGTTACTTTTTACTTACAAAGAGCAACACAAGATAGGATATTGTGTAGACCCACGTCCTGAAGGGCCATGGCAACTATAAGGAAGAATCTACCGTATAGGTTTCAGCTCTCACAGTGTCAAATGAGGGAAGAAGGGCCTTAGCGCAAAAAAAAACAAAAACTTATTTGTTTATATATGGTTTCTATAACCAAATCCACATCGGTAGTTGCAACTCGTGTCTTTATTTAATCAGGTTATATTCAAATTTAAGAGAGGCGTACTCTGCTCACACAGGCCATGCCAATATATTAGAAGATTCTAGCAACCATTCTAACTTAATAATTAGTATCGGCTAAGCCGAAATCATCATATTACATCAAGAACAGAGATTCGACAAAGTTTGTATTGAAATACTGCGTCTATTTCAGTGAAAGTAATCCAGATCTCATCAAGAAACAAAATATTTTCCGGCTTAAATCACAGTCCTATCTAAACATTAGTAATCAAGAGGAAACTTTTGTTGATTGTTCTGTTTCATAGGAAAGCAGCAAAGCTACGGAGATATTTTTGGACGGCAACTGTTTCAAGGTCTCTCAAGATTTTTTCGTGGAACGTTTTCATAGAATTTCCGGGTTTATTTCTGAGGTCAACCAATTTATATATGCTTAATCGCATACATCAGCTATCGAAAAGCAAACAAAGGGAAAAATAAGATATTCTATTATTTGTTGTTTTTTATTTTAAAGATTTTCCGTGAACAAAACAGGGACATTCTTCAGTTTATTTTTTAAAGGTTTCTCAAGTAGAAAAAGTAGAAGAAAGAAAAGTATGAAAAGAAGAAAAAGGAAATAACATGTTAGAAATGTAAGAAAGTTGTGGAAAAATGATGAAAAAAAAAAAAGATTTGGTGAAAAGAAAGGGAGACAGAAAGAAAAAATCAAGATGTTCAGCATCTTAATTTTTTTTCGTTTTTTTATTTTAAATGTAAGTTGTAGAATGATGAAGGACAAAAATAAAAATTCGGTGAAAGAAAGAAAGAAAGAAAGAAAGAAAGAAAGAAAGAAAGAAAGAAAGAAAGGCAGAAAGAAAGAAAGTTGCTAAAAAATGTTAGCTGCAAAATGATTACGGAAGAAAATTCCGCTAAAAGAAAGAAAGAAAGAAAGAAAGAAAGAAAGAAAGAAAGAAAGAAAGAAAGAAAGAAATGAACATGCCGAAAATGTAAATTGTAGAATGATGAAGGAGGAAAATAAATATTTTGGAGAAAGAAAGAAAGAAAGAAAGAAAGAAAGAAAGAAAGAAAGAAAGAAAGAAAGTTGCTGAAAAATGTTAGCTGCAAAATGATTACGGAAGAAAATTCCGGTAAAAGAAAGAAAGAAATGAACATGCCGAAAATGTAAATTTAGAATGATGAAGGATGAAAATAAAATTTGGAGAATGAGAAGAAAGAAAGAAAGAAAGAAAGAAAGAAAGAAAGAAAGAAAGAAAAAAAGAAATGAACAGGCCGAAAATGTAAATTGTAGAATGATGAAGGAAGAAAATAAATATTTTGGAGAAAGAAAGAAAGAAAGAAAGAAAGAAAGAAAGAAAGAAAGAAAGAAAGAAAGAAAGAAAGTTGCTGAAAAATGATTACGGAAGAAAATTCCGGTAAAAGAAAGAAAGAAAGAAAGAAAGAAAGAAAGAAAGAAAGAAAGAAAGAAATGAACATGCCGAAAATGTAAATTGTAGAATGATGAAGGAGGAAAATAAATATTTTGGAGAAAGAGGGAGAGAAAGAAAGAAAGAAAGAAAGAAAGAAAGAAAGAAAGAAAGTAAAGAAAAAGAAAAAGAAAGTTGCTGAAAAATGTTAGCTGCAAAATGATTACGGAAGAAAATTCCGGTAAAAGAAAGAAAGAAATGAACATGCCGAAAATGTAAATTTAGAATGATGAAGGATGAAAATAAAATTTGGAGAATGAGAAGAAAGAAAGAAAGAAAGAAAGAAAAAGAAAGAAAGAAAGAAAGAAAGAAAGAAAAAAGAAATGAACAGGCCGAAAATGTAAATTGTAGAATGATGAAGGAAGAAAATAAATATTTTGGAGAAAAGAAAGAAAGAAAGAAAGAAAGAAAGAAAAAAAAAGAAAGAAAAAGAAAGAAAGAAAGAAAGAAAGTTGCTGAAAAATGATTACGGAAGAAAATTCCGGTAAAAGAAAGAAAGAAAGAAAAGAAAAGAAAAGAAAGAAATGAACATGCCGAAAATGTAAATTGTAGAATGATGAAGGAGGAAAATAAAATTTGGAGAATGAGAAAGAAAGAAAGAAAGAAAGAAAGAAAGAAAGAAAGAAAGAAAGAAAGAAAGAAATACTGAACAATGTAAGACAGTTGTGGAAGGATAGTGGAAGAAAATAAGAAAGAGTTAGGCAAGAAAATTATAGAAGGGGAAAATTAAGAAAACCGTAAATACGGACAAAAAGGAATGTAAAAGATGGCCCAACACAAGAAGAGTGAATAACGAAGAGGATAAAACAAAAGGAATTTGAAAGGGAACATTTCCTGTCATAAACAATAAAAAGAAAGGAAAGCAAAAAAAAATTGAACAGAAATGAAAGAGTGAGTAAATAGGAGAGGGAAATACGAGAAGAAAGGAAGAAAGAACAACATATAACAGCAATAACAACGGCAGAAAAGACATGATCGTGAATGCAACTCCAACGAATACGGTTGCACCGAACAGACATAAGAGATCTTAAGCTGCTCTGTATTCCACAAGCATTGGTTTCTCCTGGCAGGCATAATTATGTGTGATTGTTTGTTACTTACCAATACCATTCGATGGTAATGGTTTGAGACATCACATTGAATATCCCAGTTTATAAGCTCACATCGTTTCTCTCCTGCCATCGTTGGTTTAGCTCAGTGGTTAGGACAGGGTCTAGATCAATGCATCTCAGAGGCTTCATTTTCATTCTTCCCTCATTTGAAATTGTTATCTATGACCTTATTTTTCACACTATTCTTTTATAGTCCGTGGATCGCCACACCATGGCACATGCACATCAGCTGTCATCATTCGCTGCGTTAAACCACGGCTTGACAGGCAGGTTCATGATAACAGCTTGTATCGGGCTGCCGATTTGTTTTCGTGCTTAGAATATCGCCTTGACTACCAGGCGTCGGATCGTGCTAAGTCTGATCCCTTCCTTGAATCCTTAACGCCAAGGGTGACCTTACCAGGAGCTCACATCTAGCAAGAGACCAGGTGGATCCCCAGATCTTCAATTCAAGGATCAGCTCAAAGACAATTTGTTAAGGACAGAAATCGATCCGGTCAATTGGGAGACGAAGGCTGCAGAAAGAACAAATAGGAGAAAAAACAGTTCATGAAAAAACAACATCCTTCGAAAACACCAGAACACAAATAGAAGAGACAAACAGAGGCCAAAGAAAAGCCAGAGATCTCCATCCCCTGAACTCTCCTACCCTACCATGCAGTGGATGTGGCCGTATCTTCAGATCCAACAGAGAAGGAAATGTCGATGTGTACCCCTACACTCGACAACGAGTTCCGTCAATTGACGATGACGACTTTTATAGTGGCATTCTTCTATATACTGTTTTCCTTCATGACGTCGGCGAGCAATGTTTCCTTTTACGATCTCTTCCACTTCTTCTTCTGCGTTCCATTTACACAATCAAGTTAGGCAGGTATTCTCAGCATCTTTCTGTAGAACTACATCTCTGTTGCCTCAAGTTTTCTCCTCATCTGTGAGGAAACCATCCAGCATTCTTTGCTATATAGTAGGATTGATATTATAGTGGTATTATTGAAACAATCTATGAAGCCGAATTGCTTTATTAATTGCAATCAAATGAAAACGAAACACATTGCAATAGATCATAACAGCCCAAATGTGGTTTTAGAAACCAAAAAGACACTTTATTGCCCTTAAAAGAGAATAAAGACATAAAATTATAGACACAAATATAACTTAAGCAATTAATGAAATGTTTTATATGAAATATAACATAAGCAATATGAAATATAACATAAGCAATTAATGAAATTTTGAATCTTATATTATTCCTTAGCTTGGTGGTGGTATTAATAATATACAATGCATAATAATTTGAATCAAATGTATTTCGTTTTTCAGCATTACACAATATCTCTCGAGAGCTATTGTATGTTGTTTTCGAACTCATTTCATGCTATTCATATGGCATCTTTTGATGATCGCATTTCTCCTGGATATGAAATATTTGCTTTCCTTTCTTTTTATTGTTTATGACAGGAAATGTTCCCTTTCAAATTCCTTTTGTTTTATCCTCTTCGTTATTCACTCTTCTTGTGTTGGGCCATCTTTTACATTCCTTTTTGTGTGTTCGTGGTCGGTGTCACTAATGTCTTGTCATTTTAAATCATCATAATTGATGACAGATCGTCCTAATTTTCTGGGCTTTATTTCAAGGAAGAAGTCTCTATTCTTAACGTAGTTTTAGAGAGTATCCCCAGGTAGTGTTTCATACGAGCAGCTCAGTGCTTGTATCCGTTTCTCTTACATGCTTTTCTATTCAGACCATCACAGCGTTGTTTTCGCTTTACGGTCACTGTATTCTCCAACGGTGAGGCACGGAGGAGTAATGGATAGTGGCTCGGATAAAGGAATCGGAGAGTCGAGTTCGAATTCATTACGTTATCTTATGAGCTAATAACCTTGGGAAAAGTAGGATTCTATCTCTTCTCCCTCAGCTATGGGTTAAATATCAGGGTAATTTTCTTGGCTTTCTTTAAATATCTTTCTATGAGAAGGATAATTCTGGATTCAAAACCTAGGGTATAGATCGAAGGCGACTCACACCATATTCCGTGGAATTCGGCTGTCGGTTAATGACTTGGTAAGGAGATTGCCTAATCTACCTGAAAGCCCACTGAAAGGATCATGAGGAATAAGTATCGAAGTCTTTTTCTTTTGCCTTCAGGTCCTCCAACGATTGAAGCACTCGATAGTCTGATGATGACTCTCCAACCTTCCTCAGTTGGTAAACATCTCAGAATTCTGTTTCCTCATGCTTAGAGGGTACATCGTATCAATTCATTCTCTCTAGTCTATTTGTTTTTAACCTAATGTCTGTACTGAAGTGGTGGAGTTTTTTAAAATCCTTTCTTTCTTTATCAGAAGGTCACACACGTTTTTCATCTCTATGCTAGGTATACTGAGGAGATTGTCAGTTACGAATCATGTGTGCTGAATCTTTCAGTCATCTTCCAGTATTGTTCTCTGTCTATTATTGTTATAACTAGCATTTGGTTGCAAAGAAAAACAACAAACAAAGATTAAATTTTCAACAGCGTGTATTCGTCAAAATTCGGAATATATACATAGTTGTTTAAAAATTTGGCAAAGATTGTTCTTGTATGGTTCTTCAGTTGTTTCTGTTCAAGAAAGCGATAAGGCTGTTGTCGGTAGAGCCAGAAGTTGCTCAGTTTCTTGAGTTGATTGACCGAAGTAACAGTTTGGGTCAAAGGATAGAATTTTGAATTAAAGGTCTTTATTCAAGTCCCAAAGATAGATTTCTCTCATTCGGTTTCCTCAAGCTTAGAGGATACATCATATCAGTTCATTCTCTCTAGTCTATTTGCTTTTAACCTAATGTCTGTAATCAGGTGGTGAGCATGACAATAAATAAAGGCAGCAAGGTCTCTGATCAGAATATTGCAGGTTTTGAGGAGCCTGGAACCACCTCTTAATTACTGCAACTTCTGAAAAGTTTTCAGAGTACAGCACAAGCTGAAGAAGGCGAGCGAGTATAACAGCCTAAACGTTGTGAGTATAACAAGCAAGATGAACATGCTGATTCGAATGGAGAGAAATAATAATAATAATAATAATAACATTCAAGAAAGGTAGAATTACAGAAACACCCTCAATAGATTTAGATTTTGTCACAAAGATTAGGGAACTATAGCATGATGGAGCCTATAAGTACCTAGGAATTAGCGGAGGAGATGGTATACAACATAGCAAAATGAAGGAGAAGGTAAGAAAAGAGTACTACATGCTAAATACCGCACTGAACTATAAAAAAAAAAACAGAATATCAGCTATAAACACATTGGCTGTCCCTGTGGTGCAATACAGCTTTAATGCCCTTAACTGGACCATAGCTGAAATTAAGCGAATGGACGCCAAAACAAGAAAGCTTCTCACTTGCTACCGCATGCATCATCCTAAAGCTGAACTGTCCTACAAAACTACAACAATTGGCCTCCAAAGATACTTGGAAACTACAGAAGACTGCATGATGATATGCGTCAAGGAACAGGAAAGTAGTAAGCGTCTTTACTCCGTAATAAAGGAAGCCAACAAATTCAAAATGGAGTTTCAAATGGGCGCAGAAATGCAAGTACAGCACAATACACCGGCTGAAACTGCAAAATACTTAAAAAGACAGCAAAGACAAATGCAACCGACCAGATACAGAAGTGATGGAATGATAAAACGTTTCCTGGCCAATACTCTGCCCGTACCAAACAATCTGACGTAGACAAAGCCCGTACCCATCAGTGGCTACGTAGTGCAGGGTTGAAAGCTGAAACTGAAGATTTTATCCTTGCTGCACAGGACCAATTCTTGTTAACTAGGAATTATCAAGCACATATACTAAAATATTGATCATCTTGTATCAGGTTACATGATATTGGCAACCACTGAATATAAAACCCGGCATGACAGAGTGGGCTAATATCTGCACTGGAAAATCTGCAACTTCTACGGGAAGGAAACTGAAAGAAAATGGTATAACACCACCCTGACACGGTTACGGAGATAGGACCTGTTACAATTCTATGAGACTACACAATACACACTGACAGAACAATCAAAGCCAACCGCCCAGTCATTGTTATCAAAGACCACAAACAAAAAAGTGCCTCCTCATTGATATGGCAGTCCCTGCTGACTGCAATGTATCTTTGAAGATATTCAAAAAACTGTCAAAATACAAGGACCTTGAAATAGAAATCTCGAAAATGTGGCATATGGGAACATCAACAATCCCTGTTGTAGTTGGAGCCCTAGGACTGGTTGGAAAAGATTGCAGTAGACTAATTGAAGGGATTCCTGGAAATGCCTCAAAGGGATACAAAAAATTGTTCTGACAAGTACAGCCCACACTTTACGAAAGGCTTTATCTATGTAATTTTTTTTTCTTGTCAGTGGAAAGTGTCATGATGCCATTTCTAACCTTAGGCCCCTGGGCGGGACCCGGAAAGAAATGTGTAAACGCCAGAAATCAAAGAAAATAATAATAATAATAATAATAATAATAATAATAATAATAATATACTTCCGAGCTTAGGTCTC